CTGACTTGGAGAGAACACATAAGAACGATAAAAAATAAAATTTCGAAAAGTATTGATATACTATACAAAACTAAGCAAATTTTAAACCAAAATTACTTGAAAATAATATATTTTTTCCTCATACATTGTTATATAAACTATGCAAATATTGCATGGCGCAGCTCTAATGCAAGTAAAGTTAAAAAATTGCTTAGTAGACAAAAACATGCTGTCAGGATTATTTCAAATGCAGGTCGATTCGCACATTCTAAAGAACTATTTAAAAGTCATCACATACTCAATGTTTTTCAGTTAAACCTTTATCAAATTCTTATATTTATGTACAAACTACATAATAAATTAACTCCTATAATATTTAATACAATTTTCAATAAAATTAATCACGTGCATCCTACAAGATTTTCAAATTACGATTTCGAGTAACCTAAAATACACTATTTGGTTACTAAATTTTCTATTGCCATCAAAGGTCCTAAATTTGGAACGCTTTGTTAAATAACCAGCTGAAAAATTGTTCTTCACTTTCTCTATTTAAACAAAAACTCAAACAAAAACTTCTTAACGATATTAATGAATTAAATTCTTTTTGAGATTCTTTTACCTTCTTTTTTAATAACTCGCGAGATGAGAATTATCTTGTTTCATCTCCACATTTTTTTGTTTTGAGATACAACGATTTAAAAATTAAAAAGTTTAAGAGTTTACATTTTAATGGTTATACACCCTTGCTGATGAACGTCGGGGTGTAGTGATAAGGCAAATATTGTCTTTTTTTAGCCCCCGTCATGTAGATTTTATTTATTTAACACGGTATTGTATTCTTTTTTTTAATGACAAATAAGTTATTAGTCGTTAAGTTAACAAGTATCTAAACATTTATATTTGCACTTAAGAGCGCTGTGGTCTTGAAACATTATGCGGACTGTTATGTAAACTAATTTCCCACATTTTTTTCATGTAATAGTTTTTCTTCGTTAATGGATAGGTAAGTATAATTTGGTCCATAATCTTTCAGGTTTATTATTTTACATTAGTTAAACTTTGTTATCAAATCAATAAAACAAAAAAAAAAAAAAATTTATTCTGAAATTATTTGATTTCAGACATATATATCATTTGAAAACACTATGATTCTGATGTTCCAAAACTAAACTTTTACTTTCTAAAAAGATGCATTTGTTGTTCAGGATATAAATAGTGTCTCGAAAGGAAATTTTTTTTTTTTTTAATTGTTAAATTATTCAAACACCACGTCGAACTCAAAATACAAACATAAATCTGGAGCTCATAAGACAAAACTTAAAAATGAGATAAGATCAAAAGAAATGGCAGATTCAATTGTTGGAGCAAAATCCGAGAAGTAGCGAAAAATGTAAAACTCGTTTTCTTCTCTTTCCTTGAGAAATTTTCTATTGTTTAAATGCCTTTGCAATTACTAAAATAGTCCCACCATCGAGCAAAGTCCTCACTTAATTCAAGAACTTGAGATTTCACGGGTCTAAAACTTATAGCTATAGTTATGATTCTATAATATATATATATATATATATATATATATATATATATATATATATATATATATATATATATATATATTATATATATATATATGTATATATATATATATATATATATATATATATATATATATATATATATATATATATATATATATATATATATATATATATATATATATATATATATATATACATATATATATTTTATTATTATTTAGGTGCCCCAAGAAGACCTAATGGTCTTGTCAAAGAGCACCGCAGAAGTGCATTTAACCAGGAAGTTTACGCCTCCTTCCTTACCGTGACGCGAAAATATGTCCAGAATTTTTGAACCTGGATCTCCTGCTTATAAAGCAAGCAGTCTATGCACTTCGCTACGGTCGCACACAAACCCTCTTATCTTTTTCGCTCAATATCAGAGCTCTTCAGCATGCCTAGAGTGTTAAGTTTATTGCAACTGCCTAAAATAACACTCGGACATGTTAACACTCGGACATGTACCTCAATATACCTCAATTGTATTATATTAGATTATATAATGTATAAAATCTTGATAGACATACTACATTTTGAACAAAATTTAAAAGTTTAGCCACTTTAAGAACTTTAGTGTTTTCCATTTAACATTTAAACAATCAAATTGTTTACCTTTGCAAACCAGAAATATCTTGATTGATTAAACAAACAGTTGACAGACGGCGCTTTTCAGCGTAACTACGCTGAAAAGCTCATTAACTACGGGACACATCTTTAAATTTGTTTAAGGCTTTTCACGTCCTAATGGCTAATTTTTTGATAGAGATTTTAATTTTCGACGTTAATTCTCACGAAGAAAGTTTAAGTAAAACTCATTAGTCTTGCCATTTTAGCTGACGAACACCCTATGGATCCTTATGATTTTATGATACTAATGATTCTCACAAAACTACATCTTAGATTGACGATTTAGTTATTACTCTAAACTATGTGTAACATGTCTGTATTATATGATGTTATATTGTCTGATGATAGATATCTACATTTGCATTTTGCTATTGATATTTATTCATTATTACCAATACTACAAAAAACGGTAATGGCAAACTACAGCTATCAAGAAGTTTGACTAAGTGCTGCAGTTTGTTGACATCAGACTGCAGCCTGATGTCTACAAAGATTTTAGCTATATAAATGAATTATTAAATTCTGTACAGTTATCTTCATAATGCACAGATAACAACCTTATAGCAGAGCATAAAACATATTGATATTTTAAAGTTATTAGTTTATAAACCTCACAGTTTGAAAAGCTCCTTTCATTAAGTTTAGCATCTTACTTGGTTAAATTAACAATTATTTGACACAATAATCAACAGATAAATGTTCGTTAAAACAAAGCTATTACTGTAAGTATTTAATAGTACCAGACAGGGCAGTGTTATATCATCTTATTTGTTTGGCATAAGCAGTACTTGCCATATCAATTTTTGGTTGTCATTTTACTGAAATGCCTATCTTACTCAATGCAGATGCTTTAGTACTACTTTCGTTGAGCCGGATACTCTAGTATAAGTTACTCTGTCATTAAGTGCACAATAACATTTATTGAATATGTGTACTAATGTTGTTGCTGAATTAGATATAAAATTTAATGTAAATAAATCATAAAAAGTTACTTGAATTCTTGGTTAGTTTTTAATGCCTATATCTCATTATACCTACAGAAAATGATGACAATGATGACTTTTTGAATGAATTGAGTCTGTCTTATGCTAACATGTTACTTTGTATATTTAGTAAATGTAACATTATTCAAATTATGCTTGTAAAAAAAACTTTTTGTATTCAGTTTCATGGTATTACCCTGTTGCAAAAGAATAATACAATTGTGTTATAAAGATTCAAAACTGCATATATAAAATGCGTGAAAAAGTTTTTTGGTTATAAATCTTAGTATAACATTACTATAGTATTTTTAAAACTTGTTTTACCTGCGTTTGACACTATTCTGCAAAATCCAAGCTCTTAGTTTACAGCTTTAGTCTCAATGTATCTCAATATGTTAGATAAAAGCTGTTTATTCTTAACCATTTTTAGATACTATTTTTGTTTTCTAATGCAATAGCTAGTTAAGATTTGCAAAATTAAATATTATCTTAACATCAATTTCATTAGATATACATAATTGTAATTATACAGTTTAAATGGATTTTGGCAAGCTTTTAATAATTTAAGTTACTTAGTTCACATGTATTTTTTTGAAATTTTATGAAATAAAATTTTTTGCTGATCAAATAGTTTGTGTTTTAACTTGTTTTCTGACTTTTTAAAGACTATTAATTATTCAAATATATTGCTAAAGACAGATTTATTTTCCCCAGTCTTTTCAGTATTCAGTGCTTTTAGCTCCTCTGTATTGCTTCTACCTCCAATTTTTTGTTATAAAATTGATATTTTACAAATAAATGTATGGAAAACAAAATCACATAATTTGTTTTTCATTAAATTTATAGAATACAAATTCATGCAATTTATTTTTTCAATAAATACATGGAAAAAAAAAACTTACAATTTGTTTTTCAATATTAGTTAGAAACAACTGTTGGGTAAAGTTATAAAATTTGTAGGCTTGGAAAATTTAATACAGAATAAAGTTTTAAATACAACATAGTTAAAGTTATTAATCAAAATTCATTACTTGATTTTTTTAGTAATACATTTTTTTTATTTATTTGTGTTTTTTTATTTTACTCCCAAGGTTACTGCTTATAATATTTACTTTTTTAGAGATTTTCCAAATGACTAATGGTTACTAAATTAATAACAGTAATAATTAAAAAAAGTTGTAGTAAATGTTACCCATTTGGCTGTAACTAAATGTTTACTTAGCTGATATTTTTATAAAAAAATATTTTATACAGAGCTAAAGAGCTATTTGATGCTATGTAATGGTATCAAATTTTGCTCTAAATTTACTATGAAATACAGTCAATATAGTTAAATATAAAATTTATACTATTAGAAATAAATACATATTTGGTATAAAAAATTGAATACAAGTTATAAATTTAAATAACTAAGTTTTTATAGAAAAAATATTTGAGTTCATATCAAACAGTTAAAAAACATGTTAATAGCACTTGATTTATCGCACTGTTAACACATATACAGAATAAGCAATCACTTTATCTATGAAAACAATTTGTAAGTTTTGTAGAACAACAAATAGGAATTAAAGATATGCAGAAGGATATTGAGGACTTAGCTTAATATTGCACCATTTCTTTTCTAACCAGCCATAAATCTTTTTTTAAAAACAGTTATTTCAAGTTTTTTTATGTCATTATGGTAAGACTGTGAAAAAAAAATTTAAATATACAAAGAAAAATAAAGTTTAAAAAAAGTTAGGTATATGCTTTATTCTTTTTTTTTTTTTCTTAAACTTTTTTTATATAACAAAGTTAAAAGTGTTTTTTAAAAATAAATGTTTTTTCCTCGTAGTGCATGTCATGCTTTCTCATATTCTGCCTTAATTCAACAACTGGAAAAGTAAGTTTAAGATAATTATTTTTTCTTTTAAATTTCTTTAATTTTTTTAGCTTTTTAATACTAATTGCAGTAGTGCATGTTTTTAGAATTCTGAATCATATAAATTTGGATGTCAACTCGACAGCAGTATTGCAGACCATATCAATAGTAATTTTATTTCTTTTGTGTTTCCTTTTTTTATTCTTGATATTTAAAAATATTGTATCGGAATAAATGAAGCTTTTGCAATAATTTGATTTTTTTATATCACGAGAAAATGTAGTTGTTAATAAAAAAAAATTGATTATAGAAATTATTAATTATAAATTATTAATTGTATATATTATTATTAAACAGTATGCCAGTTAATGATGACGCACTCTTAATACATTTTGATTTGACATGTTTTATCCTTAATAAAACATGGCATACCAGAAACACAACATACTATAACTTTACATCATAAATGTGTGGCATTATTTTATAAATTAGAGAAGAACACATTGACTAAAATATTTTTTGCAACATCTGTGATGTTTTATAAATTTCAAAAAAAAAAAGAGAAGAGTAACTAATTAATGCTCTCATTCTGAAACTTGCTACATAATGTTGACCATATGAAAAATATAGTTTATTTAGATAAACATCAGTCTTATCCATAGTTTGACAATGATTTTAATATTAATTGTTGTTGTATATGCTAATCCAACAGAATACTGTCTGCACCCAAGGGCTGTTTGATAAGTTTGAATCTAATGGAGATAGCTAAAATTGTGGATTAAACATCCTGTTGCTTATGAAAACTCCAGTTAAAACTTCCCTATCAATATATTTTTTGCAGAGAGGGCATGAAACCTGTTGTACACCATTATACAGTCTAGCTTTAAGATCTTTTTGAGAAGCATAATCTTTGAACTAACATTTAGTTATGTATGTATGTATGTATATATATATATATATATATATATATATATATATATATATATATATATATATATTTAATTTTATCCTTCATTTATATATATACATATATATATATATATATATATATATATATATATATATATATATATATATATATATATATAATTATATATATAATATATATATATATATATATATATATATTTATATATAATAAATATATATATATTATATATATATAATTATATATATATATATATATATAATTATATATATAATTATATATATATATAATTATATATATATATAATTATATATATATATATATATATATATATATATATATATATATATATATATATATATATATATATATATTATATATATAATTATATATATATATAATATTATATATATAATAATATATATATATATATATATATATATATAATTATATATATAATATATATATATATATATATATATATATATATATATATATATATATATATATATATATATATATATTTATATATATTCAAATATAAAATATAAAAGCGATATATGTATTCAAATATAAAATATAAAAGTGATTGGACAACGGTAACCTGTGTCAACTTGATCCCAAACACAAAATATTAATTTTTGTATCGGGTTTGCATAAAGAATTTTGAGAAATTGATTGAATAAAACACTAATATACCTGAAACTTATATTATTAATATATAATAATATTAATATTTTATAGATAGAAAAACATTATTCTGCAAATTTTCTTTTTAAAGTTTGTTTTTTGCAATCAGGATAAATCTTTCGGTGTTCTTGCACGCAGCATAATAAATATTGTTTTTGTTCCTCCTCGACTGTTATTAGGCCATGGAGCTCTTGCATCATTTTGACTGCTCTTTCAGCAGTATCGTTGCTGGCCCTCAGCATTGTAACCTTCTTTTTGGCATCCTGAAACAAAGCATTATTTGACCATAAAGAAGGTTCTTCGTCCAAAAAAACCTTTGGATGGTATTTAGCGTTTACCATAGCTCGATATAATGTCACTGTTAAAGTTTTCAACCATTTTTTTATTTTATCTCCTTGGTAAATGATAAAGCAGCTACTTCATCACTTAAATACCATAGATGCTGGCTTAATTTCTGCACAGCTGCTTTCGAGATGTTTTTTGTCGATTGTTTCGTAGGCTTTCGTTGATTTTAAAAAGCATAAATCCTGTGCTTTTATAGCCAAAATGCATTGTAGCCACGGCTTTACGTAAGATGTTGCAATGAATAAGCAAACATCTAACAGTGCCTCCTTATCCTTATTGGACATTTTTAATTGATCATTAAAAAGTGTCATCTTCAGGGCATAAATTGCTTTCGCCATCCACCATACTTGGTGCATGGCACCTGGAGGTCTAATTTTAAATGTTCTATTTTTATCTCCGCCCAAAAATATGATTGAGAGCTGAATTATTTCACGGTAGTCATCTCGGACTATAGATTTCGTTAACTCAGATTCGTAAAATTTCCTCAAGTTTTCTATTTCTGAAATAGTCAAATACGAATCGATTTTTTCTTTGAAGCTCTGTTTTTTGTTTTTTTAACATCTTTGCTTCCAACAAGGCTGCAAGCAACCACTAATTAGTGTTGGAAGTTACTTTAAGAGAAAAGATGAAAGTTGTAGAGCAAAATAACGATTGACAGATGACTTAAAAGATTGCAAATTATATGAATCAGGAAAGCAAGATGAAGGAAGCGAATTCTAAAGAACTGATGTTCAAGGAAAAAAACTAGACGAATAAAAGTTTTTGGAGCACTTAGGAACAGTAACAGAAAAAGGATGACACTTAATTGAATGGCGAGTAACACAAGAATAAATTTTAGTAGATGGCACAAGAGACGCTAGCTCTTTCGAGCAGTGCCCATTATAGTATTTGTAGAAAAGAGAAAGAAAAGCAACTTTACGACGATGTGACAGAGGTTGAAGGTTGGCTGCAAGAGCAGGTCCAACTATGTTTACAATGCGTTTTTGCGCCTTGTCTAAAATAGAGAGGGCATCATTAAAAGATCTGCCCCAGATATGGCAACAATATTCCATACAAGGTTTTGAGATTTATAGAGATAGAGAATAGAATCCAGAGTAAGAAAGTGTCGAGCTCAATAAAGAGATGCAACTTTAGCAGATACAAATTTTGCAACAGATTTGAAAGAAGTATTTTACTAGAGTCGACACTTTTTTTACTTAATATAAGTATTTTACTAGAGTTGACACTGTATTTTACTAGAGTCGACACTTTTCCAGTTATCACGGAACCTTTTAAACAGCGTAATATCAGGGCTTGTTGTTACTTGGCTAATTTTTGCTTCAAATACGGCTTTTAATATTAATACTCATATATGTGATGACGGCTAGCAAAAATGAGCAAATCTCTGTCTAGTTTCTGTTCAAGCAATACACAGGTGCCATTAATATGACCCGTGTTAAATGCCGTGTATCACAACAAAGAATTTGAACTTTATCCTCAAGATTCCAATCTACAAGTGCTTTCCAAACTGCCTCTGCCTGTTCTCTTCCTGATGAGTTTTCTAATCTTGGCACAGCAATCAATTGTTCTTTATATCCATATGAAGCAACTATCGGTAGACGTTCTTCTTTTGATTTTCGGGCATTTAAAGCAGCCAACAGTTTTCCATCAAAGTGAACAGTAACAACCTGTGGCATCTCATTTTGAAAATCTATTTTTATGGCTTCAGTGCGGTCTTTACGTTTTTTGATACAAATTCTTTGAATTGAGGACTTACTTATTGGAAATTCATCAGTATTGTATCCAGTGCCTCAATAGTAGCTTCAAGAATATACACGATCTCTCATACTTAATTGACACCTGTCTAGCTCTGCTACTAATTTTGGAGTGATGAAGTTTTTCCGCATAGATATTTTGCTTGTTTCGAGTTACGCGCTCTCGATCTGAGTTGGCAAATCTTATTCCAAATGTAAGTCTTCATCTGAAGCAGATGATGAATCTTTTTGTAAAGTATCATGAAATGATGACAAAGGAATTGACTCTGCGAAATAGTTTGATCTTCGTTTCTCTTCCTCAATAATTCTTAAGCGCTCCCTTTTCTCCTTATTGGCCAGTTTTTTGTCTACACCACTTAAGTGACCCAGTCGATCTGGCTCCCTTTGCCGTTGCAAAAATAACTTATCTTCTTCTATTTTAATTAAATGAAGTGCATTGGCGTGGGGGATATCAAACAAAATGACTAAGTTTCTGGCAAACTCTTGTTGACGTTGTTTAAATACGTCTTGGGTTTTGTGTGCATTTTTTTGGAAATCCCTCCAAACTTGATATTAATTTACAAGTTTCTTTACACAATTAGGAAACGATTTTGTAGGTATACGCGCATTTTCCCAATAAATAATACACTCCTTAACAGTGAGATTTGCACTATTATTTACATTTAATTTCACTTCATGAATGTTATGTAACAGCACTGCTAAAACTTGTCCATTAGAAGGAAGCTTTGATCCCGTTATTTGATGTTTCGTGTCACCTATTAAAAATATATCATTTTTAAAACTGCGTAATTGTACAGACATGTTGACAGAGCAAAATCAATGTGGGTACTGAACTCTACAGTAAAAGAAAAGCAAGTTATAACAAGCACATTGATCGTTTGCGCGTCTGCCATAGTTAGCAAGTCTTGATAAGTTCCGATGCAAGTCGGCACGGGTTATCGTGATCTTACCTAACCCAAATTTTGTTTACAATTGTTTTAACATCATTCTAACAAATTAAGAGGGTATGCGTTAAAAAAAAATATGCTTTATTTATCTCCAAGGATTTTGTAACTTTTCTTATCTTGTATTCTGGAATGACTGCCAAGGTCTTAGGATTTAGCTAATCAAAAGTTATTCTGCATGACATATTTGATATATTATTCTGATATATTATTCATATTATTCTGCATCACATATTTGATTTTGGAGACCTAAATTATGGTAAATAAAAACTAATTTTAGTACTCCGTCATTTGATAATTGAATCAAATTAATTTACCCTGGTGGGCCCCTATGTCATGTTGATGTGGAAGACCATTCCCCAACCAGGGTGGAAAATGGTCTTCATGGGCTGTGAATTCTAGAAATTTTTTTTCAAATCAAAATTTCAAGAACTTCTTTTTGAAATAACCAAGTAAAGTTTGCCTTTTAAAATTTTTTTTGTTCGGATAAATTTTTTTTCTTGATTATAGTGTCTACTATAATCAAGTTATATAGTGTCTACTATAATCAAGTCATCAATATTGTTTGTTTATTTGGTTTATTCATGATCAATTTACAAGTTATTGACAGAGAACGGCCACTCTGTAATGAAAATATAGTTTTTATACTTATAGATATAGTTAAGACGCCAAAAGCAAAGAAAGTTCATATTTAAAATTATTCAGGTTTTTCGAGTCCATTGCATTTTGGGTAGAAGCATTCCATGGTTTGACAACACGATTAGTGAGAAAGTTATTTTTTCTGCACATTTTTGTACAAGTTGTGCTTTTAGTTGTTTTGTGTGTCCATTCGACAGAGACTGTACTTTAAAGAGTTGGTGTTTGGTTGAAGCTTTGTCGATTTTGCTGATGATTTTGTATTGCCTAATAAGACCTACTCTTTCTTGTTGTTTGGTTAGCTTTGTAAAGTTAATTTGTCTCTAAATATAGCACAAGTATTTGAAGTAAGCAGTATGTTTTGTGGCTTGGTTTTAAACTTGTTCGAGTTTGGCTATGTCTTGAGCTGGAAATGATGGCTTGTACTGCAAATTCTATACGCGTACGAACGTATGAAGTATACAGAGTACGCAATAATGATGAACTTTGACCTCCGAAAACCAAGCATTCAGTTGCCAGCTGATGCAAAAAGTTAAGAAACAAGTCTTTGCTTGTATTTTAAACTTCAGATTGTTAGTCATAACAACAACTAGGTTTTGTTTAAATGTTGTGCAAGACAGCTAATACAGTTAGCATGCCAAGTTATTCATAGTGTAAATTGAAGCAAATGTTTTGTTATTGCTGCGCCCAGGTGCATTATAAAATACAGGTCAATTTTTTTATCTTTAGTTTTTTGAGATCCCTAATTTTGTGGGACCCCTGTACTATGGCACACCAAGATTTTGTCTAAACTCGGACCTATATTTAAAATCCAAATTTTTTTTGCCTATAATTGTGGATTAAAGATTGTCTAGTAAGACGTTAGTCGTAGAACTATTGTCGTAGTAGTACTGTACTACAAAGCGATAAAATTTAACCAGCAGTATTGGACAGTGTTTGAGCATATGAACAACATATTAATATGAATAACAATACAACAAGGTCAAAAATACATATAACAGACTAACAAAGTTGAATTTTCAATATCTACCTCGTGGCTGTCAGTTAATAATGTTAACAATTTTTTGACAATTTTTACACCCTCCTCCATCCCGCTTGTCAACAATTTGTCAAAATTCCAAAGCCCTTTTCCCCTCTCTACTATTAAATTACGTCAACATTTAACTAGTCTTCTTCCCCTTTCCAGAAATTTAAATGAAAGAAAACATTTTTTTTTTTAAATACTTTAATTTAATTTATAAAGTAACATTATTGGGGTCAACTTTTCTTGACTTCGCCCTTTCCCCTTGTCAACAATTGTCAAAAACTTTTAGGCTTTTTCCCTTATTTTATTAAAATAACTAATGGACACACCTTAATTATTTTTTAAATTTAATAAAGTTGTATTTTATAAAGAGTAACTTTACAAAACACAATTTTTCTTATATTTTGTTGTTTTTTTTAACATTGATGTGTAAATGGAAATAGCTAATATATAATGTAACACACATTATATTGAACAAAAAAAACATGTATATTTTAAAGTTGAGATGTGACTGTTTCAAAGTTCATTAACATCTAAAATTTAAAGAGAATTAAAAAAAAAAAAAAAAAAAAACCATAAAAAACATGTTTTTTTTGTGCCCTGTTTTTTTTTGCAAAAAAAAGCGTGTTTTTTTAAAAAAAAAACGCGTTGGTTTTTTTCGAGTCGCAACTCTACACCCTGGGCTTGTAACAAGTATAAAACCAAAATTTTGTATTTAATAATTAATTTTTTTAATGAATAAACAGATTGCTTGCGCAAAAACTGAAAGCTCTCCTAAGAAACTGTTTAGAGGGGCAGCTTGCAGGCTTGCCATGTTTGTTTTAGGAGAACTTTTCGCTGCCCTCGCACTCATTTCTTCCCGCCGAGGCCTGCACAAAGCTGACAATAATTAAGGTTTTATGTATTGCATGAGTGGTAGAGGAGAAAACCATATTGCTAGTTGCGTTTGAAAAGCGTTAAAAGTTGAAAAGCCCAGAAAAAGAATTTGATAGTATGGTCTGACAACTGCTGCAGTCAGAGCAAAAACAAAATGATAATATTTTTATGGATCTACCTGATTTTTAGTGATTATTTTGATGAAATTTATTAACTTGACTTTACACATTACTGTAGAGTATAGTATAGTATTTTCTCATTTATTCGTTATAGAAGAGGAGTTAATAATAGCATAAAGCAATCATAGTGCTATTACTATAAAGATAATCTAACGAGGTTTGAAAAGGTGACATTTTTTACTCATATTTACAGTTAAATTATGGATATGAGCAATCTGATCACCTGGTAAAAAAATTGTTTTAGACAATCAGTTTTGATCACCAATCCTTATGTTATTAACTTTAATGTGGGCTACAAATTCACTTAGTGTTTTTATTTATAATATTTATTATTTATTTTTTTATTATAGTAAAATTTAAGTTTTCCTTTTAAATATTTGAATAATTTGCCTAAAGTTAAAGAAAAAATCTTTATTAAATTATTTTAAAATAATCAAGTTTTCAGTTCAAAGTAACCTCTAAATAATTACCTATTAAGTAATTAGATTTGTTTTTATCATCTCTAAAATATTATTAAATTTGTTTTTATTATCTTCAAAATTTTATTAATTTTATCTCTAAAGTATTATTAAAGGTTTATTATTTAAGTTTTGTTGTTTTGTTTTTAAAAAATTGTTAAATTATTAAATTTTGTTGTTTTATTTAGAAAATTTTTGGATTAATGAACAGGATAAACCTTATATCAATTCCATTTCTAAAATTGTTTCAACTAAACGTGAATGTATAAACATTACTTTTATGTGGCAACATGTTTTTTCAAAAAATAATATGATTCCAAGTGTATATTTGGTTACAATTACATCAATTGATGAGGATGATTCAACTGAATGTGTGATAGATTTAGTAAGTTGAAAAATCTAGTTTAAAAAAAATGATTTTAGTAAACTTCAGTAATATAATGAAATAAAAACAAGTAAACAAACAGACAAAACAAAAAAACAGCAACAACAACAAAAACACCTGTTTTATTTTACTGTATTGGTAATATATTTTCAAAAATCATTGTTAAAAAAAATATAATAGTTATAATATTATATTACTTTGCTTTCAATTTTTTTAATTTCTTGAGTGATTAATGAGTTTTTGAGATCATTATTGTTGTGAAAATGGAAATTTTTAAAGAAAAGATTTAACCGATATATAATTTTAATTGCATCTTTAATCCAAATTTGTGAACTCAAAATCTGGTAAGCAACCATATATAAATCCTGTTAGCAAAAATAAAAACTTTTAAACATTAAGACTCATTATTTTTTTTTAACATAAAAATAAAATTTAAGTTTAGGCTAACAATGGCTCTAATAGTTAACTTGATAGACAAAATTGTGTATAACTTTCTTACAAGAACAATCTTGAAAAGTGTTCTAAAGTAAATTTTTAGCTGTATTAGCTTCCTTTAAATTGATCTATTATACGAAACTTTAGAAAGCCACAAGCTAGTATTAAAGTCAGATTGCAGTGCAAATAAAAATAGAGCAAATTAGCCACATAATGTTAAATGTTTGAGTTTTGAATTTTTATTTTCTATATTGCAAAAAGTGCAAGACAATATATTATGTAAGTTAACAGAGTTTAAATAAATTAATTTAGCTATATAAATGAGTTAATATATTTTGAATAAATATATTTACTATAAAATTATTTACTATATATTTAAAATAAATTGTTGATTTTTCTGTTTTAATTAAAGAGAAAAAAAAAAAGGAATGCTTTTTATTGTCTCATGAACAATTATCTATTTGAGCATGGTTTTAATAATAAACTGGTTGTGGAAATTTATACATCAAGAGATGCTTAAGTTAGTGAGCCAGAGTGTTGTAGAAAAAATTTATTTAATGAGCTAAAATATTGTAAATTCTGGTAATTTCAGTACAGCATAATTAAATCGTTATAATATGAATAAAATGCTTAATCAGTATTGCTTAATTATCTTTCAAACATTTCAAACACATAATTAGACATAACAAACACATAACAACAAACTAATACATAGTTAAAAGTTTAGTACAAAATGAGCTAAAAAATTATTTAACTTAACCATATTAAATTCATTATAATATATTTTGTACTAAAAAGTATTTAATGAGTAAAGTAAAATGTACTAGAAAGAATTTAATGAATTCATAAATGATATTATTAAAAATGTGTTTAAAATATTTTTGTAGAAAATTAATTTTTAGCATATTTGTATAATCATATTTTAGTTTCTTATCTACATAAAAAAAAACAGAGAGTTTGACTTAAATTGTCATAAATTAAACATTTAGCTCCCTAAAAATTCAAAAACTATGTCTGTTTCATTTTAAAAAGTTCTGTATTAAAACTTTTTTAATTTGCCTTTTCAGGTTTCTGAAAACATTTTAAATGTGTCTAAACAACTTTTTTGTGGTATGAGTAACATACCCATTCAAGATATTGGTACCAAGTTCCAACTAAATGTTTATCCTGTTAACTACAATGGTTACAATGAATCACTAAAACTTACTTATAAATCATTAAATGGTAAGTAAATTTATTTTAACACTTAGTTAAATAATTTAATAAATATTATAGAAATGTGCATCCTAAGAGATTGTTTTAAATATGGACTTAATTAAAAAAACATTAATTTTACTGTACTGGGATGTAACTCATCAAATAGTTTTACTCTCTGATTTGTGAGTTTTATCTGTCATAAAACGAATGAAGAGCTGGAGATCATGCTCCAATAAATTCAAACTCAAATTGTTATAGAAATAACAGAGAAATTAGTTAAATCAATACAAAATCAACTTGTAGAAGTCATTAAATTTATTTGTGGCCTAAATCCATACTAAAAAGTTATTAAAGATAGTTTTGTATAGGAAATTTTTGTTTTGGAAGTTCCAAAGAAAGTTATATTTTGTTTTCTGACATGTTCATTCAATTTGCTTTCAGAATAGTCATAAATTGTTTTTTTAATTTACTCTCAAAGGTTTATTTTTTACAACATTTTTTTCTTTGATTTTTATTTTTTTAACTCTGTATAAAATTAATTAATTGTAAACTATTTTTAAGTTTTAATTTATTTGGGTTTATATTTTGCATATTATTTTTTATTTATATTTTTTCATATTGTTTATAGATTATATACTCAGCAGTAAAGAATTTACCATTATTCATGGTTCATTGGTTGGAACTCTCAAAGTTTTAAAGAAAGTATACACTGTGTCTTTCAATATAAAACCTACTAATTACTCTAGGGGTTTAAAAAGTGTTCTTCACATAACTTTGGGTAAAAATAACAATGTTTATGGTGACAGAAATCCTGGCGTTTGGTTTCATGAAGATGGTACTGGTAAACTTGTCATTTTTGCTGCAGTGAATGGAAGTACAACGTTCTACATTGAAACACCTCCTCTAAAGTTAGGTGAATGGTCTTATATTACAATATGTCAAAGTTATCTAGAAAGTAAATATTGGTTTTCTGTTTTTTTGAATGGAATCAATATAATTAGAACAGAAAATTCTGATACTAGAGACTTTAAAAATATGAAAGTGTATGCGTCAGATTGTTGGTATGATGCTCAAGATGGTTACATCACTGATCTACTAGTCATTAATGGACATGCTGGTAAGAAAACAAATGGTTATAATTATATAAGCATATATAAATTATATATACTTATGTATATATATATATATATATATATATATATATATATATATATATAATATATATATATATATATATATATATATATATATATATATATATATATATATATATATGTATATATATATATATATATATTAGGGCAGGCCACAGTCCCACATAAATTTTTTAAAAAATTAATTTTACTAGTAGCTACATAAAATATTGTTCCTTTTACTACAAAAATCATTTTTTGTTATGAAAGTGTTTATATAGCACATATCTAAGTACTGCCGCATTTCATTTTTAATGTGAATTTGAAATCTAAACGAAAAACACAAATCCAATTACATCTGTTGCATTATTTAAATTATTAGGTTAAATACATACCAATAATATTGTTTTTTTTGTAAACAAACTGAATATGCTCTATTTTTATATTGTGAAATATTTAAATCAGACTTGATATGCTTATGCAAAAAGTACTTAGAGTTTAGCAAATAATTTTTATCAATTTAACAGCCAAATTTTTTCTTTTTTTATCAATTTAACAGCCTAAGTATCTTTCTAATAAGATATTTATATTTTAATCTTTTTCTTGTTAAACAAAACAAAACAAAAATCTTCTGTTTTGATATTTATAGATGTTTTACAACACAATAACTTTATTTAGTGGTTTTCATGCAATAAATAGGCACATGTAAGAGTTGCGGTATTCGTTGAATTGTGTTAAAAGATATGTGTAATTTAGATTAAAACTCAGTATGTTTATCTTATGTTTATTTTCTTACAAATTGTAGGCTTATATGTATACATAATGTTTTTCAATAAGCATATAGTAACAGATTCAACACTAACATGCTAACTATTTATTATTATCAGCCAGGTTATTGTCTGATCGAAATATAGCAAATTTTATTAAAATTTAGCACGCCGCTGTCATTTATCTTATGTTTATGTTATTAACAATACAAAATAATTAAGTGGTTAATGCTATATGCTATATGCTCATCTTGTTTTCAATTCCAGTTTATATGATTCAAAGTAAATATTTGATAAAGAAAATGTCACTAATTAAACCAAAGAAAAATGACATTGAACCAAAAAAATTAAAAAAGTCGGTTAAAAAGAAATACTTGAAAGTATTGAAGTCAACAAACAAAATATGGTTGGTTGGATATCCTTTGGAAGATTTAAAAACAAGCTCTTTGCCCACTACCAAAAATGTTTATAAATATTTCAGGTTAGGGTTAATACTATATAAAGACTTAAGTTATAACTCTATGTTTTTGAAAGTTTTTTTAAAGGTTTAAATTATTTTCATCTTCCATTTCAAGGTATCACTTTCAAGGTATCAAGTTATTGATAGCTCTTATGAAGAGTTTACTAAAGTTAAGGAGGCAATGCACACTCAAAGCAACATTTCGAAATCTAGGTTAGCTGCATTTACTATTAAATCAGTCAAGCTCTTTTGGGATAAGGCTGACATTCCTTATAAACAAGACAAGTACAGTATTGAAAATATTTTAATGCTACATGACAAATGGAGGTTGCTTGCAAAATCTAAATATAGAATTTCTAATAAGAAGAGTTTACTTGAACAAAACCTTATTCAATCATTAGATAACATTTTTGATATTAGTTCTCCTAGTTGGAAAAATGACATTAGAAAAACCAGGTAAGCTAAGGATGCAGATATTGCCTGGTTTACTGCTTTTCAAAATGGAATAAAAACTGAAGAAATTGGCTACATTCTAGTGTTAGGAGAAAAAAAGAAAGAATCGAAAAGAAACAAGTGGCAACTAAATATGAAAAAAGAAGAAAAATAGATGATGAAAAAAACTGTTCAGTTAGTTGGTTATAGTAGTGACTCAGCTCAAAAGATTCCTATGTCACTAAATCTAGTCGTTCTATGAGTTCTTCATATCAAAACTCTCCTAAAAGTAATCCTGAGTTTAATATTTCTAAAAGGCAGCAAGGAGAAAAAAAAGATACCAGATCAGATAGTATCACACTGGTTTTGCCAAAAAACTTCATTTCTCACCCAATGATAACAGCAACTGCAGATA